AGACAGCCCAAGACGGAGACAGCCCAAGACGGAGACGACAGCCCAAGACGGAGACGACAGCCCAAGACGGAGACAGCCCAAGACGGAGACAGCCCCAGACTTCAGCGTCCACAGACACGGAATATTCTGTCGGTGTGTGGTGTGTACAGAAGGAGGAATATTGTGGAACCTGAGGCACTGATGCCTCGAGTGTATTGTGATAAATGACACAGGCAAAAACACCACACAAGCCCAGGTGCAGGAGGCTCTTGGAGAATCACAAACAGAGAGAGTGGATGCTGTGGGCTTGTGGTGGCAAGAGAGCATAGTTGTCTGACAAGCACCAACTTCCTGTTCAGAACGATGGAAAAGCTCTAGAGATCAACAATTGGGAGGCTTTATTAAAGAATGCAGTGCCCCTGCATCACAAGCTTAGATATTCAGGGAGAGCCCAGCAAGATGTTTCATCAGGTAAAGTTTGATCTCAGGACTCACATGGGAGAGGGAGAAAACCAACTCAACAAGAAGTCCTCTGTCCTCCAACACATTATGGCATACATACCACACCCCACAAAATGAATAAAAGATGCGAAACATTAATAAGAAGGAGACAGAATAGATGACAGCATATTTCGGGCCAATGAGATGGCTCAGTGGATAAAGGCGCCTGCCACCAAGCATGATGACCTGAGTTTGATACTCAGGATCCATACGAAGGCAAGAGAAAATAGACTCCTGTAAGCTGTCCTCTGACCTCCAAACTGGAGCCCTGGTGAGCATGAACACACACACACACAGGCATGTGTACACACACACACACACACACACAGGCATGTGCACACACACACACACACACACACACAGGCATGTGCACACACACACTACATACATATAATAACACTTTACTGGGAAGAAATGTGGTACACTCCAAATACATTCCTACTGCAGGAAGGAAGAGAGGGAGGAAAGGAGAGAAGAGGGGAGAGCCCCTTAGGTTGACCTCCGTGGCTCACACAAGTTTCTCCACTCTGGCTCTTTTTAGCTGTTTTCCTCATCTTCCTTCCAATCCTACTTTCCATGTCTTGATTGTGAGCAGTAATGAACTACTCCAAGATCAGGAACAAGACAGCTGAGATTCAACTCCCAAGTTTGCCACTTGCTAGGTGGGTGGTCTGAAGTCCTCAGTTTCCCCCTCTAGAGGGGTAGGTAACTGCAGCTTGCCCCTAACCAGGTGGTTGAGAAGACAGAAGAGCATCTCCCTCAGTGTATAGTGCTGTGCTTAAGGACATAAGGACATGTCCAGTGCCATCCAGACACCTACACTGTTAGCCTGAAGGCTGCCTCAGAGGAGGCTCTGCTGCTGGCTGCCAACCTTGCTGAGCACTTAGCATTCTCCTGCATGGTCTAAGAGAAGCGCGACTCTAAGAATACTCTAAGCTCCAGCTTCTTAAATTGTGGGCTATGACTCCCATGTGATATGATGTAACTCAATGTGAAATTACAAAACAAAAAATGGTAACAGTAAAAGGTTTCTGAATGCACAATGTCCAAACATTATTTCAAAGTCACTGTTCAGTAAACCTTCTGTGGGATGTCTTTCTGTATGCTGTGAATATGTGTGGCTTCCATTGGATAATAAATAAAGCTGTTTTGGCCTATGGCAAGAAAGCTTACAGCTGGGGGATGAGAGGTACAGAGAGAAGAAGGGCGGAGTCAGGAGAGACTTGAGCCTGCCCCCGAAGAAGCAACAAGATGTCAGCGGATCAGTAATGCCATGGCCACGTGGCAACAAATGGATTTATAGACCTAGGATAGTTTAAAATGAAAGAGCTAGCTAGCCAGAAACTGAAGCCATCGGCCACACAGTTTGTAACTAATGTAAGCCTCTGAGTGATTATTTTATAAGAGGCTGTGGGACGGCGGTGGGAGGGATCCGTCTGACTGCTGGCCAGGGCGCACTGCAGAAGTTCCTGTTCACACAACCCTGAGTGTTCCTGGCAGCCCTGACCGCTGTTGCCTCAGGAGATTCCGCTGCGGCCTCAGTTCTGAACACAACACACACTTCGCACTTCACAGGCTGCAACTCCACACAAGGAATGCCGTTAAAGCTGGCCCCGGTTTGAGACGATTACACACTGAACTGCAGTGTTTGCTTTCACACAAAGCTCCTACTCTGATAGTGATATCATGGCTTAAAACAAGCCAGCAGATAAACAGCAGCAACGACAACAAAACAGCCCCCAAACTGCTAATATTTCCTTCTGTCAGCCCTTGGCATGTAAGAATCAAATTAGAATATCTTCAGATTGCATTGTGTTAGAATTTTTGATTTCAAAAATTGATGTTGAGTTGTTTTGTTTGAAAAAAAAATATCACATCAGTTGTAGTGGCACACTCTTTTAATCACAGCACTTGGGAGGCAGAGGCAGGCAGATCTCTGAGTTTAAGGCCAGCTTGATCTACAGAGCTAATTCCAGGACAGCCAGGCTACACGGAGAAACCCTGTCTCAAAAATAAAATAAAAACAAAAATAAATCATTATATGAAATTTGGCTTTAGGTTAGGACAGAATTTTCAAATTTCTGAAATGGATTTAAACATACTTTTGCCATTTTCTAGCATATGTTTTTATGTAAAATGGCATTCCAAGTATTGATGATTATAAAATCAAATATCTATCAACTCTGAAATGCATGAATATTATATAATCTACATTTGATATTCAGCCAAGATTTTATTCCTTATTTAAAAACCAAATGGCATATCCATCTCATTATGAAAATTTAATTTCATCTTTAATAAGTGGAAAGATTATATGTATACCAAAGGAGTGTCTTAAAATAAATTTCTTTATGATTGACTATCAGAAAATGTTTGATTTGTTTATTTTATATATCTAAAATACCTGGTCTCATTTAAGAAATTCTTAGAAAAAAGGGGGATCATGAGTAGTAACAGTTTGAGTGGTCTTGCTCTATGCCACCTAGATGTGCTCATATACAGCATTCTTTTCTTCCTGATGTCAAATGCACCTGCGTTTCCACAGGACATGGACTGCAACATTGTCTGCGTAAAGGCAGCAGAAACAAATGGGTAACTGTCACCCAGTTTGGGTGCTGAGAAATTTGGGGCAATTGTGATGATGGATGAGCGGATGGTTGAGATATAAGAGTAGAAGGAGAGAGAAAAAGGGAGAAGTGTGGCGAGGGGAGAGGGGCGAGCGGGGTGGGTCAGACTAGTTAGGTGGATGGATGGTAATCCCAACACATGGCCGAGGTGCCTCCTGGCTCCTCTGTGGAATGTGATGGAACAACAGATAGTAAAAAAGGGATAGGCTGTTCTGTGGAGCAGGTGGGTAAAGCTGAAAGCGATGTTAAACTGATAAGATTGATAGGTGGAAGCCTGTTTAGGGATAGAGTGGTTCCTAACATAATTCCTCCTAACACAGAGAGGCTTGTCGTTGTTTCCATAGCAGCCTTATTAACAGCCACAGAGACAGCTGCAGGGCTTTCCTAGAGGTCCATCCTCTGAATGAGAGGAAACCAGAGTGAGGAGAAGCAAGGTTGGTGTCTTTTCTGCAAATAATGAACGTCCAAGCTGTTAGAGACCTAACAAAGTATCACACACTGCAAGTAAAACTGTAGACCATAAAAATGAACAAAAGAAGAAAATGAATAGGCTCATTATCTGTAGGACTGGACAGGTCACCCACTGCGGCTACCACCCAGGCTAAATTGCAGTGTGTGAGGCCATCTACCCTACATTTTTCCTGTCATTCTGAAAGCTTTTTATTCCAGAGTGGCAAAGGTGTGATTCTAATTCTGTCCCTCTCTTGTTCTTTTTATAGTGCTTAAGTCTTGGCAAATACCAGAAAGAGAAAGGCGTGCCCCCCTTTTCTGTATTTTATCAGCAACAAGTCCAAGGACCTGTATTTCCTGGTTCTCTAACTTCTCACCTGCTGCATCCTGCTCCAGCTGATCCCTGGGCTTTGCAGAGTATAGCTACTTGCTGGACTGCCTGCCGGGCAGTGAGCATGCCCTGGCATGGACAGATGGGAGACTCCACCACAACACCTCCTGATAGTTGCCACAGAACTGGGACCAGGGGCCCTAGACAGAAAATGCTCATAAACAACGGAAAATCACCGTTTACCTATGAGTAAGACAGCCATCAGTTTGCAGGGCGTGTTTTGTTTACCTGTGAAGGGCCACTCTCCTGAGGAGGGAACTGAAGGGCGCCTGCACAAGTATCCCTGGCCCCCATTAGTGCTGGCTGGCTTCATTGCCAGCGGCTGGGGACTTGTTTCTTGTTCTGAGGACCTTTTGTTGCTCTGGGGCTCCTTTGCCACCTGTACATCTGGCCAAAGTGCCAGGAAACGGAAGTCCTGGGAGCGGTCCCCACCCATGATTGACAGGAGTTGGTGTCTACACACCTCAGCTTCCAGTTCTTTGGGGACAGGCATGGTGTGCTCTTCAGCTGCTTCCACATTGGCTGCCTTCTTTTCCTGGAATTACTTCCCCATACTCTCAGCATCTCCTGGGTTCATCTCTGGAATCACTGCATCTGGAACCTCTGATTCGGAGGGAGGGACCCCAAAGATAGGTGTCTGCATCCAACAGCGGGACACTGGGACACCTTTGGGAAGGTGGGAAGACCTGGGGGCGGGAATGATGAACTCGCCTGAGGCTTGCACTTTATACACAGTTTGGGGGCCCTCTGGAGGGTGAGTGATAGGGACCCAGGCCGGTCAGGTTCAGCATAGAGATTAGTGAGGTGGCTAGACGTGATCCAACAGCATCCTCTCACCAGGCCGTCATCTTCTATGGTAGGAATTGGAGGTGAAAAATAATGCAGACGGCAGAGGTTACTTGTATCTCACTCACCTTTGAAATTCTGCCTGGTTTTGTTTTCTTCAAAGTATTTAGGAGTATGGTTTTTGGTTTTGTTTTAGGGAAGGCCTGCTAAGAGTGAATTTTTATTTGATTGAAGATTTCATTTTATTTTACTTGTTTTTCCCCCTTTGAGACAAGGTTTCTCTGTATAGCTCTAGCTATCCTGGAACTCTCTATGTACACGAAGCTGGCCTTGAATATATTTTACTTTTGGATGATAGTTATTTTAATTGAAAGCATTAATTTAATTTAAAAATTGTGTGTTGTGGGTAGGATTCGGGTGCAGTGTGCACACACACACAAGGACAACAGAGAACAGCTTGAGAGAATCAGCTCTCGCCATCACAAGGGTCCCGGGACTTTACTCCGGCTGTCGGCTTTGGCGACCGGACCTGCTGAGCCATCTCCCGGCCCCTGCTAGGTTCTGAAGCCTACGGTGTGGTGTTATTTTGTTAGAGTGAGAATCCGCCGACCCACTGGCACAAACCTCTCCCCCTCTCTGATCCAGATATGCACCCCAGGAGACGAGGTTCATGTTGCGTCTAGGTATGACATTGTTTTTATTTCAGGAGTCCCTGCAGCTTGGATCTGAGGAGCCATATACTCTATTAATCCTAAACATTATCTTTGAGGCTTGACACTGTTTCTGTCCACGCTCTGAGGTCCTACTAGGGTATGATGGTCTTACTCTCTCTCCCCTGTGTCACAGGCTCCCTCTGGGTCCTGTCCTCCAACCTTTGTTCAGCTGTGTCTAAACGACAGCTCGGCCGCCACCCCAAAGCAGTTCAAATATCCCTACTTTTCATTTCTAGTAGTTCTATTTTGTTTTTCTTCGAGCACAAGTCATGCTTATCCTCTCTTGTTACTCTTTTATGGTTTTTACTTTGAACATGTGTGACTTCTCCTCTGGGTGTTTTTCTCTCTGAAAATCACAACATTGGATGTGGGTGCTGATTTACGCTCACAATGGGATGCACCCTCTAATGTTTGCTGATGTTGTTATTTTAAGCCGTGTTCCACAGGAATGCTCTTGTTTTGTTCTGTCTTGTTTTCTGTAGGAATCCAAGACATCGTGGCTCACAGAAGTGCCTGGTCATTTAAGTTTTGTTGTTGCCAGATGCCAGGAGATAGTCAAGGCAACTGAAACAGTCACTACCTCTGAGCAGGCTCCTCTGATCCCTTTCAGTGGGCGGAGCCTTGGCACCATCCCTCCGCCTGACATTGCCTCACAGCCTCTCCGAGACACCTCAGACCCCACTGCTCCGAAGCTTCTCAGTCGTCTTTCCTCGGCTGCTCTTTGAAGTATTCCTCAGGTGGAGCTCAGAGTTCATAAATATTCGTTGGAGAAATAAACCAGGAGAAATCTGTTCTGTAACATCATGTTTTGGTTGTTATCTTTCATCTTTATTCCATAGGGTTTGGGGAGTGTGTGGCCCCCGTTAATCCAGTGCACAGGCTGAGCTCATCAATCGCTTCTCTGATAAGATGTTAAGAGGCTGTGCCAGCTGGGAGCGGCCGGCAGACGTAAATGACAATGCTTTTCCACTGCACCTGGTTATGGCATTACCATCTCTCTCCGTTCTGTGAGCCAGGAATGATCCAGTGGAACAGATTTATCACATAGCAACAATGTCAAAGGTTTCTGAAGCCACAGCACGGCTGTGCCTGAGGCCCGTTTCCTTGGGCACACCGTGGATTTAGGATCCTCCAAAATCATACGACAACAAACAAGTAGAGATGTCAAGTTCAAACGCCTCCTGCCTGCTTGCTCCTGCCTCTCCTTATCTCAGCCCCAGACTCTGAGGAAAGTGACCACAACACACATGCATTTACACACTCCTGTGGCCACACTGGAAGTGCAAAATAGTAGGTTTGAATTAAATTTTAACACACTGAGTTTCAAGTTCAAAACAAAGTTACATCCAAGTGTGATGATGCACATATGAAATCCCGGCACTTGACGGGTGGCGGCAAGAGCATCAGGAGTTCAAGGTCATTTTCAGCCACACAGCCTGTTCTGGGTTACATGGGACCCTGTCTGGAAAAACCACAAAAGCAGAATTACCGGTGTAAATATAAGCTCCCTTAAAAGAGTAGATTTGTTTTTTTATTTTGGCAAAGCTACCTTTGTTTTCGTTTTTTTTCCCCCTTTAACTTTTATTTATTTATTTATTTTGCACAGAATAAGCCGGTTTGCTCTAGGTTTTCATGGTTCTAAACAGCTGTCGCCCGCTGCCCCCTAGTGGCTTTGTGGCAAATTGTAAGACCCTGTTCCTGGATTCAAAGACAACTTTCTTCATTTCTCTTATTTTGCTCCTTGTTTTGTTTTACTGTTGCTCGTGACAAAAGACTTTCTTAAACGTACACAGACTGTGACAAAATGAAATTAATTCCGAGCATTATTTTTTTGGAAAGTAGCCAGGAGAACCTCTTAAATAGTTAAGCTGAGTTTAGAATTTGATCACCTAGGATTTGGAACATGAGATCTTCTCAGCCCCAATTTCCAGGGCCATTTTCATCAAGGCAAATGACTTCTGAGACACCGATCAACACCCTGGGAGCCCTTGCCTGATCCCACCAGTGCGATCGGAGCCCGCCTTCGCCTGGCTCACACACCCTGGCAGCCCTTGCCTGATCCCTCCAGTGCGATCGGAGCCTGCCTTCGCCTGGCTCGCACACCCTGGGAGCCCTTGCCTGATCCCACCAGTGCGATCGGAGCCTGCCTTCGCCTGGCTCGCATACCCTGGCAGCCCTTGCCCCTGATCCCACCAGTGCGATCGGAGCCCGCCTTCGCCTGGCTCGCACACCATGGCAGCCCTTGCCTGATCCCACCAGTGCGATCGGAGCCCGCCTTCGCCTGGCTCGCATACCATGGCAGCCCTTGCCCCTGATCCCACCAGTGCGATCGGAGCCCGCCTTCGCCTGGCTCGCACACCATGGCAGCCCTTCCCTCCAGTGCTTTGCTGGAAGCTACACACTGGGTCTAGGAATGGGTGGCGGGAAAGGGTTCATAGTCATTCCTGAAGGCGGAAGAAGGGACCCATGCCCTGACCTCAAAGGCCCGGAGGGACTGGCCAGGTGGACCGTGTTTCCCTGCCCACCGGGTACGCCTGACTCGTGGTAGAAAACCCCAGCGTTCAGTGTCGGTCTCCTGTCCCTCACCTTCCACACACTCTCTTCCTCCCATTCCTCACCCCAACAAGGTCCCCGAGTATTTGCTTCTCACCACCTGTCACTAAGGAAAGTCTACAGTGTGGGATCCACTCACGTGAGGTAGGCTAGCTCTCAAGTCTGTAAGGACAGAAAGTACAGCTAGGTTGCCGCACTGGCGGGGCCGTGGGGACGGCTTCCCTGGTGGAGTGCGCTCTATCGGGAAACACGAACTCGTTCTGGGGAGGAACAGGAGTGGGCTGCAACCAGTGCGCAGAACCGTCACTTAAAATGTTTAAGGCCATAAACTCTGTGGTTTTACCACAATTCTGAGGAAAAAAGACTTGTTATAGAGTTACATATACTATGATGGAGTAAGGGCATTAAAAACAAACAGACTGGTGACATGTAGAAAGTCCGGACAGCTCCGGACTTAGGGTCACCTGATTGCTCTGGGTGACACTAAGGGACAATAAGGAAAGACGGGTCATTTTAGAAGATGATGTTGGACCAACAGAGTAACCCAGTGAGAGAATAATGCACCTTGGCACCTAATTCTCACACATACAGAAACTCATTTCAGGGTAGGTTTTAACAGACAAGTACTAGGGGTACTATCCTGGTGAGGATTTTTTTTTTTTATGTCAACTTGACACAAACTAGAGTTATCTGGAAACCTCAGTTGAGAAAACTCCTCCATCAGACTGTTTGTGGTCATTTTCTTAATTAATGACGGCTTTTGGAGGACCCAGCCCACAGTGGAGGTGCAGGTGGCCCTGAGTTGTGTGGCATGTAGGCACAGGAAGCCATGAGGAACAAGGCTGTAAACGGTGTTCCTCCACGCCCTCTTTTCCAGTTCTACTTCCAAGTTCCTGCCTTGAGTTCTTGCCCTGCCTTTCCTCAGTGGTGGGATGTGACCTGAGAATTGTAAGCTGAAATAAACCCCTTTCTCCCCAAGCTGCCTTTGGTTCTGATGTTTTTTGGGTTTTTTTTTTTGTTTTGTTTTGTTTTGTTTTGTTTTTTCTTTTTGGTTTGGTTTTTCGAGACAGGGTTTCTGCGTGTAGCTTTGCGCCTTTCCTGGAACTCACTTGGTAGCCCAGGCTGGCCTCGAACTCACAGAGATCCGCCTGGCTCTGCCTCCCGAGTGCTGGG